GAGACTCAGGGATGGGGAGGCAGGGACAGAGAGACTCGGATTTGGGGGGCAGAGACGGGGGGGGCCGGGACAGGGACTCTGATATGGGGTTGAGAGACAGAAAGACAGGGAACCCGGAGACAGAGAGACGGGGGCGGGGCAGGGGTTCACAGACAGAGGTAGACTCAGAGATGGGGGAGGGGCAGACACGGGGCGGGGGGAGGGGGACCCAGAGACAGAGACACGGGGGGCCCAGAGACAGAGAGACTGCCAAGAGACGCCGCACTGACCCAGGAGCTGAGTCAAGCGCGGGGACGCGGGCTGACGCTTAGAGATCCCGCCCTGCCCCACCCCGCCTCGCCCCAAGCCGTGCCAATGTGGAAACTGAGGCTCAGGCAGAGCCTGAACCCCGGCTGGGCCCCTCCCTCCTGTCGAGTCGCTTGGTAACAAGCCCTGCCCCCGCCCCCCTCGCTGGACCCTGTGGGACTCGCCTTCCCAGAACTCCCCGCGCCAGGGCTGACCTTCCCAGAAATCCTCACTCCGCCTTCGGAACGTTTTCCCAGAAGCCCCCGCGGTCTCCCGCAGGACGCTTTCCCAGAAGCCCCTTGGCCTACAGTGGGACTCGCCTTCCCAGAACCTCCCGCGGCAGGCTCACAGGCCCAGGCGGCTAGGCAGAGGCGCGCATGGGCCTGGCCTTCCCAGAAGCCCCCGCGACTGACGCCGGACTCATCTTCCCAGGAGGCCACGCGGCCGCCTCGGGCCCACACTTCCCAGAAACGTCCTCAGACCGGCCCGAAATGGCCTTCCCGTAATCTCTCGGGAAGCAGACACACAGAGTGGGGGAAGCCCAAAGCACGTAGTGGGGAAACCGAGGCACGGAGTTGAAATAGATATATAGTGGGGAAACAAGAAGGAAATTGAGCCACGGCGTTGGGGGGGGGAGACAAGAGTGGGGAAACTGAGGCAGAGAATGGCCCAACAGACAGATTGTGGGGTCTGGCAGAGACCAGTAGCACAACCAAGTCCAAGTAGAGCAGAGCCTTGAATGTCACCCCCACACAACAATATTCGAGCCATATGGGGCTGGTGGTCTGCTGAAACCCCAAGAGCTTTCTCAGACAAACCGGGGGCCCCTCATCTTGCGCTGGTGATCCCCAAGACCTCAGAGTCAGGTGGGGACAGGAGGTGACCCCAAACCCGGGGGCCCTCCACCCCCAAGATCTCAGGGTCAGGTGGGGGGGGCCGGAGGTGATCCCAGGCCCAGGGGCCCTCCACCCCTGCGATGCCACACAGTACTGGGGGGGGTGGGCTGTCAGGGAAGGGGCACCGGTGACCTGGGCACTGAGCACAAGTAGCACTGAGTCAAGGTCTCCTCTCCTCCCCTCTGGCTCCCGGCATAAGACCCAAAGTCATGGAGGAAACCAGAGATTTCCATTGTAGCAAAGATACCCCAAACTTTATTGGCTGATGAGGCTGGCATGAGAAAGGGGAAACTGAGGCACAGTCCGAGATGAGGCAAGGAGCAGCCTTCCTTGTGGGCCACCTTCTGCTCAGCACAGCTGGATCCCAGGCTTTGGGGTGCTGCGGCTGCCACAGGCTGCAGACAGACACGGACAGACAGCCTTTCACAGACTCCCCCTCTCTTCCAATCCCACCTGTGACCCTCACTAGCTGTGGGCAAGTCATTTCCCTCTGATCTGCCTCAGTTTCTTCATCCATCAGGTGAAGGGCTTTGATTAGATGGCCTTGAAGGCCTTTTCTGCTCTAAATCAATGATCTGAGATCACCTCTGACTGTCCTGAGAATCTCTGTCCACAAACCCTTTCTTTATGCACTGATTTCAATTCAACACAAATTGATTAGGTGTCTTCTGTATGCATGCTTCTAAGGTGGCATTCTGGAGAGAGGTGCAGGCCCTTTGCTGGGTACCGAGGGACACAGAGGGAGGGGAGGCCCGGGCCGGGTGCTGGGCACTGAGGGGGTACAGAGGGAGGTGAGGCCCGGGCCTGGTGCTGGGCACTGAGGGGCTACAGAGGGAGGGGAGGCCTGGATCTGGTGCTGGGCACTGAGGGACAGGGAGAAACCTGGCTCTGATACTGGACACTGAGGGGGCACAGAGGGAGGTGAGGCCCGGGCCTGGTGCTGGGCACTGAGGGGGCACAGAGGGAGGGGAGGCCCGGGCCTGGTGCTGGGCACTGAGGGACACACAGGGAGAAACCTGGCTCTGATACTGGACGCTGAGGGGGCACAGAGGGAGGTGAGGTCCGGGCCTGGTGCTGGGCACTGAGGGGGTACAGAGGGAGGGGAGGTCCAGGCCTGGTGCTGGGCACCAAAGGGGTACAGAGGGAGAAGCCTGGGTCTGATACTGGGCACAAAGTTGGGGGGAAGCACGGGGCAAACAGACTCAGAGAAGTGAGGAGCCAGGTCCCCCAGACTGTACAGGGCAGGCATGGGCATTGAATTTGATGCCTGGGATTTTCAATGCTTCCCTTTTCTCTGTGCCATGATCTCTGCCCAGACCTCACCTGGAAGCTCACTGAGACTCAGGAGCCATCTGACTCATCTGTGACTTCCCACAGCCTTAGCTGGGCTCACAGTAGGCACTTAATAAATGCATGCTGAGTTCCACCAAGGCAAGGGCCCCGTGATGAAGACTGAGCCAGAGTATGGCAGGTGTCCCAGAATCAGAAAGTCATTCATTAGGGGTATCAAACCATGGCTGATACTGCCCGATATCTGGGAAACCAGAGATAGTGAAGCCGTCCAGCACTTCAGAAACAGGCAGCAAGACAGAAGGGACATTGACAGCCAGGGGACAGGCATGTCAAGACTAGGTGCGCCATGGGGAAAAGAGGAGGCAGTGGGGCCTAGGCGAAGGCTGAGGCTCAGAGCTGAAACTAGGGGGTTGAGGCTTACCCAGGAGGCTGCCCCAGAAGGTGGTTAGGGTGGCGGAGCCAGTAACTGCTCCGGGCTCCGCTGGGTTTTCCCGCTGGGTCCGGACACAGAAGCTCTGGCCACTAGGGCCTGGAGGTCCCCTCAACTCCACATCTATCACGTGCCGATCAGTCAGGCTGGGGTCACAAGGTGGGGATCATGGGTTGGGGATGGAGATGATGCCCTGCCAGGGCTCCCCTCACCCTCTGGCCCCTATCCCAGCTCACCTGAGGTCAGAGACCAGGACGCCGACCACGCCATCAAAGCCTAGGCTTGGGGCAGCCAGAGCAGCCGCTGCCATGGTGTTAGAATTGCGGGGGGCAAAGGGGCAGAGCCCCCGAACAGGCCCCTCATAGAGCACTGTCCGGGGCCCCTCCTGGGGCCCCCTGCCAAATGTCCCCTCCAGCCGGAAGCCATCAGGGTGCGTTGCCATCGTGACACGAAGACTCTGGAGGGGTCACGGGTCATGGCTCTGAATGTCCTGTCGCATCCCACCCGCTCCAGCTCAGCTGCCGCATGCCCTTCCTTACCTGTAGCCCCCCTGACGCATCCAGCTGGGATATGTCCTCAGCTCCCCACAAGGCTCCCCGAGCTACAAACACTGAATGGCCAGACTTCCTGGAGGCCTCCAGCAGCTGTCGCTCTGTGTCCCTGTCAGCGAGGGCCGAGGGGGACCCCACCTGGGAAGACAGGAGAGTGGGAGCCTGGCTGGAAAGGCACCCTGGGGGCGCAGGGCCCCAAGAAAGGGAGAGCTATCTAGAATCAGGCTTAGAACATCAGAGTGGGGAGGCACTTTGGAATACAGAATGTAGAGTTTTGGAGTCGGGAGCTTCCTTAGAATGTAGAACAGAATGGCAGAGCTCGTTGGGACTTTAGAACAGAGAGTGTTGGGGCTGAGAAGGGACTTTGGAACACAGATATAGACTGTCTCAGCCAGGAGGGGCCTTAGAACATGGAATGACAGAGCTAGGAGGGACATTAAACCAGAATATTAGCTTAGTGGGGGTGGGGGTGGGGGGACCTTAATGCACGGGCCATAGGACGTCAGAGCTGGAAGGGACCTTAGAGTGGAGCAGGAGAACTTGGCAGGGGGGAGGGGCTATCAGAATTTCGGATTTGCAAGGGGCTTTACAACAGAATATTAAAGCTGGGAGGGGCCTGAGAACCATCCTCGTTCCAATCTCCTATTGGAAAACAGGGCTGGGGTGGGGGAGAGACTTGCCCAGGGTGGGTGAGGGGAAGCCTCACCAAGAGGTCAGCATGGCTCAGGATCTGGGCCCCAAAATCATGGATGATCTTGGGGTGAGCAACCTCCACCACCAGATCTGGACTCCTATAGGGAGGATGGGAAGGAGAAGGGGGGAAGGGGCCAAGCATTTATTAAATGCCTACATGTGCCTAGCGCTGTGCTGAATGCTCTTACAGCCCCCCTGTAAGGTAGGTCATTGGTGAGGAGGCCCTGAGAAACCTTAGCTTCTCCTGGCCCAGTGGGTGGGCCCCCCAAATCTCTTAAGTGGAGGATCCCACACCAGGACAGCAAGGCTGGAGGTCACTGACCTATCACCCAAGGCACCGAGGTCAGGGAGCCTCAGGGCAGGGGGCAGGGTGCTCTGCAGTCTCCTGGGGTCCCGATTCCAGACAAAGGCGAGCTCCAGGCCATGCTGGGACCCCTCGGTCAGCAATCGAGTGGCCAAGGCCTGACCTGTGGAGATGGGAGAGAGACACCTCGCCAGGTCAGGAGCCAGGGAGGCCTGGGGCAGGGCTAAGAGGCAGGATGCGGACACCCTACTCACCAAGGCGCCCGTAGCCCAGCAGGCCAACCTTCTTCAGGTTCTGCTCAGCCATCTTTGGTGCTCCTGAAGCTCTCCTACCAGGCTGACCCTGTTCAGGGCTGAGCTTTGTACAGGTGACCTTTGGACCTGGTGCTTGCTGCCCCAACAGGGCCCCTGGCTGGAGAGAAGGGGAGGGCAGATCCCTGAACCCTCCTGAGAAAGGACTCTTCCCAAATTCAGCAGGGTGGCGTCTCTCCCTCTCTCATCAGCCAAGATGTGTGTTGGAAGTGTCCCAAAGGCTGTCTCTCAGCATGTACGTTAATAACCCACAGCCAACTTCTCTCTCCCTGGGGTGCTAAGCCCCTTCCCCCTCTTCACTGCAACCAAAGCCTTTGCAACCTTCTCCCTCCCCCCTTGCAGGCCCAGCCAGGTTGCCATGGAAACCTCATCCCATTTGGGGGAGGGGGGTTGGTAGTGAGACGCAGGGCTGGGTGCTCAGCCTGTCTCTTGCAGACTCTGGGTCTCTCTCATCCGACCCTCCTCTATTTCTGTGCTCTTTGTGTCTGTCCTAGCTTCTCCCTTTTCTCCTTCTTTCCCCTAAGTGACTCTCCCTGCCTCAGTCTGCGCCCCTGACTCCTGTGCACGTCTCTGTGATCTCCTTTTTAGGCAAGGTTGTCTCTGCCATGCCTCCTCCCCAGATCTAGCCTAGTGGGCTAGGGTTCCATCTCTGGCTGCCCCGTAAATCTCCTTCCCTAGCATGCCCCCTTCCTTCGTCCTTCTCCTGCCCACTCAGTCTCCTCTAGGAAGCGCCCAGGCACGGAGCAGCCACATCCTTCCTAGACATGTGTGTGGGGTGGGGAAAGCCCTAGCCCCCTCCTGAGCCACAGGCTAGAGGGGATGATGAGTTGATCTTTCTCTGCTCCCAGCCTTCCCCCCATCCATCCGAAGTAAGGGCAGTGACTTCTGACCTTTGTCCCTCCCCCTAGGACACTGATGGGGACAGCTAGGGAAGGGAAGGCCCAGCCTGCGCTGTCCCAGGCTCCCTTCATCCTGGGTCTCAGAGAAGGCTCACGGTCTGGGGCCCAGGAAAGTCCCGTGCACTCTGTGGGCTCCTGCCTGCTTCTCTCCTCTCCTGTGCCCAGGATGGAGATGGCAGAGGCTGCGGCAACCGAGGTCCCCCCTCCCATCCCCAGCCCCTCCTCTCCAACCACCTGGTGTCTGCTGCAGTGTTACCATGGTAACAGGGATTGGCACGGAGAGAGGGAGAGAGAGAGAGCCCAGTGACACACACACAGAGGGAGGGAAAGCAATGAAAATGGGGAGGAAGAGAGAGAGAGAGATCCAGGGCTGGGGAGAGACCCCCCTTCCATTCAGAGCCTTCCAGAGAGAGACTCTGGTTTCAGAGTGGGGGAACACCACCATAGGTAGCAAGAGATGAAAAACACAGAAACAAATGAGAGAGACGAAAAGTTGGAGAAGAAAGAGTATGGGGAAGAGGCAAGGCGTTATTAGACCCGAGGGAGGCTGCATCCTAGGGGCTGGGGAGGTCGAGGGCAGAGCTATAGGGAGCCAGATGGCTCTTCTCTAATCTGGGATCTTTTATCGGCCCCTCCTCCTGTGGGCTGGGGGGTGGGAAGGAAGGAAGGTCAACAGGGTTAAGGTCTCCCGCCCACCTACCCAAGCTTGCTAAGACTGTGTTTGTGTGGCTCAGCCTGTCTCCGTGTCTCTTGCCTCCCTCATCTGATGGTTTTGGGTCCTGGGCATCTCTGTTGTATGTCTTTGGTGGTCCCTCTGACTCTGCCTGGGGGGTCTCTTTCAGTGGCTGTCCCTCATGGTATCTTTTAAAGTTTAACGGTGTCACCGTGTCACCCTCCCTCATCAGACAATCCAAGGTTGGACATCTGTCACTCAGCAACTGCTGGTGTGGCTCTCGGTGTAAGGCTGTGTCACTGTCTCAGGAGACTGAATCTGGACCTGGGGCATCCAAAGATATGGCCGTGCTCGTCGCTCAGAGCATGCCTGGGCTTCTTTGTGTGTGTGTGTGTGTGTGTGTGTGTGTGTGTGTATGTGTGTATGTGTGTATATGTGTGTGTATGTGTGTGCATGTGTGTATATGTGTGTGCATGTGTGTATGTGTTATATGTGTATGTGTGTATATGTGCGTGTAGATGTGTGTGCATATGTGTGTGTATGTGTGTATGTATGTGCGTGCATGCGTGTATGTGTGTATGTGTATAAATATGTATGTATGTGTGTATGTGTTATATGTATATGCGTGTATATGTGTATGTGTGTACATGTGTGTGTAGATGTGTATGTGTGGGTGTATGTGTGTGCATGTGTGTATATGTGTGTGCATGTGTGTATGTGTTATATGTGTATGTGTGTATATGTGTGTGCATGTGTGTATGTGTTATATGTGTATGTGTATATGTGCATGTAGATGTGTGTGTATATGTGTATGTGTGTATGTGTGTATGTATGTACGTACATGTGTGTGCATGTGTGTAGGTGTATAAACATGCATGCATGTGTGTATGTGTTATATGTGCATGTGTGAATATGTGTGTATGTGTCTATATGTGTGTGTGTGTGTGTGTGTGTGTGTGTGTGTGTGT